TGCTGCTGCTGCTGCTGTATTCACTTTGCTGCTGCTGCTGCTGCTGCTGCTGTATTCACTTTGCTGCTGCTGCTGCTGCTGCTGCTGTATTCACTGTGTGGTGTGGCTGCATTGTTGGTGTTGCCTTGTGCTTTGCTGCACTGCTGCCTTGTCGCCCATCTGCATGCCTTGCCTTCCGCGTTATTCGCTTGAGTGCCGTGTAGTTTGGCTGCTTTGTTGGTGTTGCCTTGTGCTTCGCTGCACTGTTGCCACCCTGCTCGTCTGCTTGCCGTGTCGTCCATGCAGTTAGCTTTTTTTTTGCGCAGTTGGAGTTGCTTCCGCAGCGTTGCCTCAGGCAGGTGCTTCGCTGAGTTGTTTCCTGCCTGCCTGCTGCTGTATTCCGCTTGTGGACAGTCTGCTTTCAGCCAGGGTAAAAATGGTCATGACCCAAAATGCCTCAATACGAGGATTCCGCAGATTGTGGCAGGTTCAGCGTCCTGACGACTCGGTGCAACTCCAACGAAACAATTTATCATCAGTTCGTTTAAAAATAAAAGGAAAAGAGACATTGCATTAATAGATTGAAGCTCGAGGCCGGGGAATATACGCTGTCCTGCTTTGTTGAACCCTATTAAACCCTCCATCCTCCGTCCTCCGTAACCGAAGGGTCTTCAGGCCAAGAAGAAAGCCTCTCTTCTATTGCGGGAAGTCGAGGGAGTGGTTCCCATGTGAGTCATTGTGTTCCTGGTCGAGGCCCGCTGATCCCCCCATGCAAGTCTGAGGGTGTTGCCCAATATGGTCCCCAATTTGCCGCTGCCCAGCACATCCTTGTTGGTGAGTTTGTCGACGAAGTCCTGATTCTTGGTGGGGTCATCTTTCATGTGTTTTCTTGCTCTGCGCCAGTCCGAATGGTACACTCTGCTAGCAGGGTCTGGATCAGGCCTTCCCATGCTTCAGCCAGAGGGGTTGTTTGTGCGGCAATTGTCTGCTTGCAGCTTTTCTTCCAGATTGCCCACAGTGTTAGAGGGCCAAGTCTCCACGACTCTCCAGTAGAGTGTGCGTTGAGTGTGCGTTGCCGCTTCTCGTGCATGTGTGGTTCTTTGAGGCCGTTGAATGTGGCTGCCGGTTTATCTGGCAAAGGGGTAGATGTAGCCGCTTCCCAAGGTTGGCCGATCTGGTCCAGAGTTGGAACTGCGTGTGGCCAGGGGAGTAGGCAGTGTGGTAGATTATCTGGGTTGCCCTCCTCGCAGAGGGCGCAGATTTCATCGAAGTCTGTCCGAGCAGGCTGCGGACCTACGTTCGATGCCGGCAGCACGTAGTAGTAGACCAGCCACTGCATGCTTCTCACCCTTGTGTTCCGGATGGACAATGGCGCTTGGCAGGATACTTTGGTCTGGCTCCCCAGACCCTGCCGGTGCCCGGCGAGGTGCTTGTCCCACCGCTGAATGAGGGTTTGCTGCTTGTTGGCTGACCTTCTAATCAGTTTTGTTTTTTCAGTTGAACTTTGTGTTTTTTTGGTAGTGTTGCTTCCTTTGTCCTGTTCTTTTGCCTTGCTGGTCCTTGGTTTGGTGCCTTAAAAGTTTTCCTTTGCTGCCTAGTGCTGTTTGTCTTCCCGCCCGCATCCCCCATGCCCTCCAACCTATGTTCTTCCCTGCTGCTTCCCATCCAATCTATTGTTGCTTCCTGACTTTTTTTGTTGCCTTGCTGTTTTCGCCTTGCTTGCGTTTGGCGTGGTTTTGGCCGTATGGTTCTGTTCTGCTTCATGACCTTTCAAAGCTTTGATATTTGGTGCATTCTTTTCACAGGCATGCCTGGCTACGGGCTCCTTTTCATGTGTTGTTTACAAGCACACTTCTCGACGCAACATGCCGCGGCACGCTCGCGGAAGTCCAGTACCACACAAACTGTTATACCGCATCAAACGCAGGGACGCAGCCATTCGGGTAGCATGCTTTATGTTCTAGACAGTAAGCTTGGCAAAGGTCTTATGAAGTGGGGGATGGGAAGCCTTCTGGATGGTAGTGTCTAAAGCCAACACTCTCCCACACACCACACGCAACCCACTCACACGCACACACCCGTGTTGGCTGAGGACCTTACTGATACTGACTGGGAGGATCCAGCTGACTATCTCAGTTGGTTGACACCAAGAGTGCCACAGGCGGCCATGGGGATTGAACCCACAACCTCCTGAATCCCACTTCCGTGCCTAACCAATTGAGCTAGGCCGCCGGATGGAGCCCAGATTCTTTGATCGCAGGAGAGAGAGAGAGAGAGAGAGAGAGAGAGAGAGAGAGAGAGAGAGAGAGAGAGAGAGAGAGAGAGAGAGATGAAAAACGAATAGCAAGCTAGCGAGGGCTGTACCACCCCACACACGCCCAGGAAAAAGGGCATTTCAAGCTCTAAACTAGTAGCCGCGTATCTACATATGTTCTACCAGAAGATACATGCTCATTTTGCACATTTGGTCTACGTGAGCACCTCTAAGAATTGCCAAACAGAAAAGTACTTGGGAGAAAAAAAGACATACAGAGAACTGATGGTGTGTTTGAGGTGGCATGGCACATTTTTTGGAGTGGCTGTAAGCCTGTAACACTATTAGGGGGCGCTCAGTTCGGGATGCCTTTCGGTACAGTTTCATGGGGTTCATCAGTGATGTCTGTAGGAGTGGCTCCCTGGCTCTCAGCAGTTGGTAGGAACCAAGTTCAACCAACAGTCCGTGGGTGGGGTTTGACTTGTTGTGTGAGTAGGCGATGGATTGATTTGATTTAGGGTTTGGAATGTGTGGAATGACTTGTCGGCGCTCGTCGGCTGCCTTGCTGCCCAGTGGCGCGACATGCCTTTGCCTGCAGCTTGTCAGTTTGACGGGTAGATCGGTTGCCTTGTCGGTGTTGCTTCTCGTCTCCCTGCATTGCTCCCTTGCTGTCCATCCGCGTGCCTCGGCTTCCCTTTGTAGTTTGCTAGTGTGTGCTCTGTAGTTTGGCTGCTTTGTCAGCGCTGCCTTGTGCCCTGTTTCTTGGTGGGAGCAATTGCAAGGAATATGAGTGTGAGCAATATACATAAAACCAGGTTGCGAAATCACACAGCTGAGCAAGTAGTAGTATCCGAAGTAGAGAGTACAAATGCACCGAGAAAACCATCCATAAAGAGCAATACAATGAAGTATTGA